TCAGTGCCATTGATGTGCGTCGAATCAGGTAATACAAGCAATTCTTTTTTTTTTTTTTTTTGCCTTTCCATTCCTATCTCCTTTCCTATTCCTTTTTCTTTACATCTCTATCTTACTTTTTTGACTGTCTGTTTGTGTGTTCATTAGCTGTTTTGAGATAAGGGGAAAAACTGGGCCGAGAAGGCATTGCAATGCATTGTGGGGGACACATTTTCAAGATGTCGTCTATTTTGTTCCATAAGACAGTCCCAAAATGCACTGCAAATCCAACTCAACCTAGTCTTTTAGTCAACACCCAATGTTGCAATGACTAATAGCGTTTTTTTTTTCTTTTTCTTTTTCTAGTGAATCTCAGAGGCCAGAACGTCTGCAGTTGAAGCTGTCCAAGTCCATGTCAGAGGAAAATGGAAAAGAAAAGTGAGTCCATAGAGATTATCACATGTTAAGAGCTTGATATTGTTTATACTCATGAGTTTCCATACCATATCGCGAACAAGCAATACGATATAGGAAAAGATATCCGGCTCTTAACAATATGTAATAATGTGTTTACTACAAATATTATAAGGTCTTTWTTTTTCTCTCTCTCATGTTTTTAATTACTTCTTTTTTCTGTGATCTGATGATTGGTCAAATGCTATTTTTCTGCAATCTCATTGGCTCTTCAAAACTGCAATTTAAAACTYAAAATGGTGCAATTAGTGATTAAATCGCACTGTTGAGAGCCAATCAGAGTGCAGAAATTACCAGTGATTTCAAAATGGGTGTGATTAAGTGAGAAATGCAAGCGAAATTTGAATTTTCACTTATTTTTTCTCCTTTTCTCCACAGGTTTGAGGTAATCCGTAAACCACATGGTCCAGATGGTACCCCAGGATTCAATTACATCAGAACTCTGAAGGTCATGCCTCAGGTCCCCAACTCTGCCTCACAACCGCAGGAAGACCAAACCTTTGTATCCAAAGCAGCTGAGGAGGATACCAGCAATGGGAACATACTTGAAGACCTTGTAGCAAAAATATGTGATTAGGACTTATAAACGAAGCTATGATTGCTTGATGATAGGCTTAGAAATGGATTTTGATTGGTTTAGAAATGTTAGCATGTGATTGGTTAAAGCCAATAAGAGGGTTTTTCTAATTGGATGATACTAGCTTGTCTGCCATTGATAAAGAATTGAAGGACTCTGATTGGTTGTAAAGGAATAGCTGTTACTGGGCATGCTCATACCTTTTTTACTTAATTCAGTAGATTTTGTTTCTTTTTTGGTTTTGTTTCTTATAATCATTCATTTTCCCCTGTCCTAGTATATTATTTTTCATATTTTTCCTTATATAATAAATGTGTTTGTGTGTAACTTCTGTGACTATGTAATAAACCAGCATAAAATTATAGACATACTCTTTGATACAGTCTTCAAAAACTCCCTAGGGAGGGTCACCAAATATCAATAAAGAGGGAGTTAGAAGTATGCAAATCTATTGTCCATTAAAATTAGTATAGGTAATAAGTATTTCCAATTTGGAAATAATTGGATGAAAAAATTCTGAGGACTGACAAAATTGGAAGAGACCGATAGGCCGAGTCTAATTTGGCAGTCAGAGGAATTTTTTGAATTCAATTACCTCCAAATTGGACAGACATGTAGTCCTATTGCAGATTAATTATATCATCCCAAACTATACTAGACTGATTCCATAAGTCATAGTTTTCCCTCGAAAGAATGCAAATGGAAACGATCCAAATTAATCTTTGATTTGGACAGGAAAGAGAATTTGAAAATCATACAATAGTTGCTTACATGGGATTATAGAGTGATGATACGGTTAATGCCTGAATCCATCAATCCACAAAAAAAATCCACTCAGAATTTGCAAATAATTTGACAGTTGTCTTGTATGTGATTTTGTTGTGTTTTTAACAATTTTGTGGTTAAGAACCACTATCTGAACTATATAATGAGCAAAAACTGGAATCCAAACCATGAAAATAGGTAAATCTACAATCGGCTGTGTTACAAAATCCACCAATCCGTTAAAATTTTACTCAGAATTTGAAATCTGGACTAAATTATTTGTGAGATTTGACAAGCTGTAGATTTAATCACCTCCCGATGCCCAATAAACTTCAATGAACAATGGAGGACGGGTGGTATGCAGAAAAGGGCAATCTTCAAGGTATTAGTAGAGTAACCACAGTAAATCCATGAAACTTTAGTAATACTAAATAGCACAATTTCATGCAAATTCCATTGTTTTTCTATTGTTTAACTAGCACTATTTTGTACTATTTAGTAATTAGTGTTTCACGAATTCTAGTAATGATGTAGGATTTAGAAATAGACCCCTTGCAGCATGTCAGAATGCAGCTCAATATACCTTTCCCTAATTCGATTGGATGACCACCAAACTGGTTTAAAGTCGAGACTGAACTTAGTTCTTTTATTCATCAAGTTCAACCTCGATTTGAAACCATTGTTTCGTGATCAATCAAGCGAATTCAGGAAAGGTCTATTTGGAGGGCAAAACATTAGGTTTCCAATTCTGAAGAGATTGAAATAATCTTGTTTTGTCATCCAAATTGAGCTCCTTTGACGTCACATGCAAGGGGTCTGTTAGTCCAGACACAGGAAGCCCAAAAAAAGTGGAGCGGTAAAAGAGAGGGTACAGCATCTGGACTAGGGGTCTATAGATCACTTGATGCATGACCAATTYGGGTGTGGGGGGAGGGGTGTGGTAGACTTCCAAAGCAATTCAAGGAGGAGTGGGTCAGAAAATGGAGACACCAGCGACTGCTCAAGACAGGTTGTTTTGAAGTATCTATTTTCAATATATACCAAATTACAGAAACTCGAATACAAACAAACTCTATTATATAAGGAGCTTTACAGTTAATTAGTTTTTGTGAACATTTATATAAACAAAAATTAGGCTATCAAAACCCCGGGGGGGAGACTCCAGGAAAAAAGTAACAGGGATGCTCATCAGAAATTTTCAAAAAGACCCCTAAAAGATACCGGAATTCTTTAAAAAAGGGCGTGGCTGAATGATTTTTAACCCAAGAGATACCGCAACAAAAAATGTTAAATTTGATATAAAAAGCGCCTAGGATAATCCATACCGCTGCGCGCTTCTCTCCTTTTCCAACACCCTAAGAGATACCAGAAAATGCTGATTTAAAAAAATTCGCATTTAACACCCTAAAAGATAACCCCCCCCCGGGCACCACCATAACCATCACGTACCATCCTTATCTTTCTAGATTGGGTGCGTTTCTAGTTACATTTACTATCGGCCCCATTTCCTTCCCTCAACTCCCAAATACCAGCTTCAGTGCCATTAATAGATTCATGATTTATACACCTATTTCAAAAAACGATGTCGTCGCCAAAGCGACAGGCGATAGGTCATTCCGACGGAGTCTCAACACCAAGAAGAGAATAAGAAGCAGAAACACAACTCATTCCAGCTATTCTTGGATCTTGCAATGACCTATCTCCTATCGCTTTTCGCCTATCCCCAGTTGCCTATCGCCTTTGGCGATGACAACGTTTTTTGAAAAACGTTGTTTTTTTTTGAAATCGAGAATTCCCACAATGCTAACTAGCTCCCACAACAAGACTTCTGCTCTCTGTTTTCGTTTTCTGCTATAATGGGTTTGAAACCTTCGCTGTATCTTAGTCTGTTTTCCTGGAGAAAAATCACAATGAAACAAAGAGATTAATCGAGAAAAACGTCTCGAGATTAACAAAGAAGGTACGATTGACAAACTAATGTCCCTTTCACAAGTACCTGGATATTTTCCAAAACGGATATTTTTATTCCGTTTTCAAAAGTGCCCAGCACTCTAATTGGACGACCAATCGATTAACATGCTTTGATTGGACGYCTATTTTGTATTCTTTCCGTGCCGTGTTTCAGTATCCTGGTGTGTATACAAACAGTGATTGCATGACGCGCTGTGATTGTCTCAACGAACTCCGTAATGTAACCGTGCCGTGCGCTGTGATTGACTCAATGGATTTGAATCCCGTAATGTAACCGTGCCGTGCGCTGTGATTGGCTCAAGGGATTTGAATCCCGTAATGTAACCGTGCCGTGCGTTGTGATTGGCTCAAGGGATTTGAATTCTGTAAAGTAACCGTGCCGTGCGCTGTGATCTTCCACCTCACAACTAGATATCTATCAACTCTAAACTGATGAAATAAARGTGTGCGTTGTTCACCTGTTGTTGTCTTCGTTCTTTGATTTGTCTTGCGACAGCAATAAAAGCCTAAAAAATAGAAAGAGTTTCTTACAATTGACCTCGGCTKGGGCGTAATGTTTTCCCATTTTAGACCACGTGTCATTCCCTTAAGTACTGAAAGCTGAAAGGACATTCTTTAATGCAAGTTTTTTTTATGTTAGTTTCGAGGAATTAATTGAATACCTCTGAGACGTTTTCTCCAGTTCTGGCGCTTGCTTCAAAAAACTTTAATTCTGCCGTGGCACCTAACTGTGTAAGTCAAGAACGAAAGAATATCATTTATCATCATCATCATCATCACCACCATCACCACCATCACCATCATCATCTTCACCAATGATCACCCTCACCCTCACCACCACCCTCACCACCATCATCACCCTTACCCTCGCCTCGCCCTCATTCCCACCCCCACCCTTACCCTCACCACCACCCTCACCCTCACCCCCACCCTCACCCTCACCACCACCATCATCACCACCCTCACCACCACCACCACCCTCACCACCATCACCACCCTCACCCTCACCACCACCACCACTACCCTCACCCTCACCACCACCACCATCACCACCCTCACCCTCCTTTATTTTCTACATACCAACTGGCTACGAGTGGTGTCTATGACCCTCTCATCTTCTGCATCTAGTTTGTTTCCTACAAGAACTTTACAGACATCGGAAGAGGCATTCTGGTTCAACAAGACAAAACGAAACAACATTGCTATGTGCTTGTTATATATACTTATTTCAATAAAGTTAGTCACAAAAAACCTAGGTAGCTGTGATCACTGAAAATCATGGGAAAATGTTTTATATCCAACAAGTAAAGCTTTTGACACAAACTGCAGCAGTTGAGGATACTCAGAGAAGGTTAACTTGTAACTGGTAGAAGATCTCAAGTCCATCAACAGTTATCAAGCGGTTAAAACATGTAAAATGTATCTACCCAAAATCCTTGTCGGCCTCAGCTTTATAGCTTTTCAGGTGACTAACTTTATTGAAATAAGTGTATATGCTCTATTCCACATTGCTTTATTGTTTGTAAATTTTCCATGAATTTTTAAATTCCTAGTTTTAGCCATATTTTTATAGTCTATCCTCATATGTAAGTTTTTAAATTACTTTTTATTTATATTGTCTATTTTTTTTATTTTTTTTGTGGCATGGCTGTAAAGTAGCTTTTAGATAAGTCCATTGACCACGTTAAATAAAGGTTAATATTATATTATTATGGTGTAGAGGTACTGCACTTCATTTATTCTTCTGGGGTCTCAGGGTTCGAATCGATGTGAGTAGGGTTTGTTGGGTCTCTGTCTTAATTCTTAAGTTGGCCATCATGCCACCTGACTTAGATCAGCCCAGAGGT